CCCCAAAACCCCAAAACCCCAAAACCCCTCAATATGAAATAAACCATGATTATAGAATAATAGAATACTTACAAATATACAGAGGATAATAATTTAAAATGTCAGATAATTATAGCAAGGATCCGTTATCTCTAGATCACTCTTTTATCATATCAAGGAATTAGAAGCAGCAGCCTAATTTCAGAATGAAGACGACTATAAATTCTAAAAAGCCTAGCCTGAATCTGAGCTTTGACTTGAATAACATATCAAATTAAAGCAGCAAATAGAATAAAATTAATCTGCAATAACTGAAGCGAGCTACAGAAAACATTAATAATGCTAGGATTTCTAATAAAGATAAATTTTTAAGATAGACTTACTAGACTCAAATCAAAGAGGAGGATTCTACTACTGATCAAGATTAAAACTAGCCTACTGATACTGATAGACTCAGATTTTTCTCACAAAAGAAAGAATTGCTATTGAAGATGCAAAAAGAAGAAGAGAATAGAAATGCATAAACTCTAAAATAAAATAAACTCAAGTCAAAAGTAATTGGTAAAAAAAATGATATTTAGTTGATAGAAATAAAAGATAAGTCTGAACAACTAATTTAAGAGCAGGTGCTGAATGACTTTTCAGACAATATAACTGAAGCTCCTGGATTAATGAATTATTTGGAGCCTGTCAGTCAAAACATTCTGAGAATAAAATCAAGCCATAGATTAATTGCCTCATTTGATTAATAGATTAAAGAGCATAGTTACAAAAACTAAGTATCAACCTGGAAGAATGATTATGTCCACTACCCCCCAGTCAAAATAGTTAAGCAATTTATGGAAATGGAGGAAAAAGTGTTGCTGCAGTTTCCAAAGAAACAGATTTAGAGTCCAAGACCTCAAACTAAAGACATTAATCTCATTTATGAAGATTTAAGAGAAAAAAGACTCAAGATGTTCAAAGTGCTTGATCAAAAATACAATAACGACTTTGGCATATTTAAAAATCGATAATAGTCAATCTAAGATGAACTAAATCAATCAATACTCATGCAAGAAAGCTAACTAGGATTAAATAAGCCATCCATAAGTCGAGATATTACTCCTCATGAATTTAACGTTGGATCAAGTTTCAATAAAACACCTGATTATAGAAATTCATAGCAAGTTTTTGAGGATGATAAATTTGAGAAAGCTAGTTTTGGTAAATTTGTTTCAATAAAAAAAAGCAGGGCTTCTAGCTTTGGAATGAGAACAATAGATAATAATTCTATTATTAAAAAGGAGCAGATAATTAATCATGAAGATTTCTCAGACAATAATGTTTTAGCAGATCAAGAAAATCTAAGCGCAACAGATAAAAATATAATGAAGGGCAGCCCAAGAAAGCAAAGAGCCCAAACAGCTAATAGACATTCTAGAATATAAAGGGGCATTAGAATCAATAAAATGAAGCAGGGACGAAACCTACAAAACTGTTTGCCTTCGTTAATGACTAAGATAACCGTAGATGAATCAATAGTTGATTCAACATAAAATACTACAAATAATCTCGGTACTAGAAAATTTACCAACCTAAAAATGGCTGATTACTTTAAAAATGATGACCTTACTACAGCTCCTTCTTAAAATTTCCAAAGCTTTCATCACAATTGAATTGAATTTAAATTAGAAGATAAGTTAACAGATAGCATTATTAATGATGAAAAGATTGCTTTTGCACTCAACAAGAGTATAAATGAGTAAAAGAAAAGAGAAATGCACTTCAATTAGAATAATAGTATTGAACGAACAATAATTGAGTCTACTCTAGAAAAGCCAACTTATAAGTGGGACGATTTAGTAACTAAGATGAAAACTGATCCTAAGTTAATGATGCAATTAATTGATGATTAAGATAAACAAGAAAAGCCTTAAAAGCATAGTATGGCTGAAGCATATGAAAAAAGAATGCTTAAAATTATTCAAAGACAAGAACTGCAAATAAAACAAGGCTCTAAGTTTAGTATGTATGATAAATAGCCTTAAAAGTTTATTGCTGCAAGCTTCAACAATAGCATTTTAAATGGACAAGCAAGCGCTTTATCAAAGAGGGCGAAATCTTAAAGCAAAAACAAGCATTTTAATTCTTAAGCTACAACAAATTATCTGTCGGAGCATAAATTTTCCATGTTTTAGCATCAGAGTGTATTCGATAATTTTCACAATGAAACATTCGTTTTCAATTCTAATAATGTAACTACTTAGAATCAAGTGAGTCAATTAGATATAAGAATCAAAGATATCAAATAGAATTCAAAAGAATATGATAATCGTAGAGCTTAGACACAGCTTTCTATGATATCCTAAGATTACTTAAATCAAGAGCCAGTGATAGCAACTCAAAATTAATCATCATTAAGTAAGTTACTAATGAAATCAAATACTAGAAACACTTTTCAAGATAAATATGACAAGAGCAATTACGTATCCTCAAAGATTTTGCCAATCGTTGATAATAATTACCAAGAAGATAATTATCAACAGACATAAACAAAGATCTTCGGCAGAAATAACATGATGCTTCTTAATTAAAAGAACTCAATCTAAGATTTGATTTCACAGAAAGGGGAAAGAGATCTTTTGAAATCAGTGATAAAGAAAGTAAGTGGAGGGCAAAACGTTTACAGCGGCTTCATTGATGATTATAACATAGGTTCTTAAAGAGACAGTAAATTCAAAAGATATTTAACATCCAGTCTTAAAAAATAAAATCTTTCTAAATCATCTCTCTCTTCTTACAAAGTTTAAAATTAATCAGAGTCAGGTGTCAATAATCTTGAGAAACAGCACTATCTTGATACAAATATGCTTTTGAACATTAACTAAGATAAAATAAATATTGATAAGTAATTTGAAGATGATGATGACCACCACATTGTAAACAACCTAGATGAGTCAGAGTTTCTTGAAGATATGAAAGAATTTGAAAATGACAAAGAACTTGAATTCCCTACTATGTACAAATATGGACTCAGATTAGAGTGGAGCCACTGCTATCTATATAAAAAATGCTAAAAAGAGCGATCTGAATTCAATATGTAAGCACGGCATCGCTGTATTAATCTTTTTATAGGCATAAGAACCATAAACTATTTTAATAATCCGAGGTATTAGCAGCAATATAAATCATTTAAGAAAGATAGAGGGATTTCAAGGACTTCCTCCTACTAGAACCCTATTTCTTAAAGTCTGTAAATACTTTGAGAGAGCTCATATTCAAAGAGCTAGAATTTAATGGACTGTATGTTAGATATATTAAAAGATATGGCTTGGTAACTCTAAAGAATACTTAGAAATTATTACTACTATGCAAGAGATTTTTCGAGTTGAGATTGCATTTTATTGAGGTATTCAGTAGTCTTGCTAGGAAAAAGGTTCAATATCGAGCTTTTAAAATGAAAATCAAGGCTGCTGGAAAATAAATTGAATAGACTGATGATGAAGATGAAATATTAGATTTGGGAACAGAGACAGTGAAGAACTGCACTAATGCTTTGCTTAATATATAGTAGATTAGAAAGAAGTCAAAGTTATTTAATTCAGAATTTATATTTGAAGATGAGGTAAGTTAAATTTTTATAATCAATACTCTTATTAGGATCAAGTAAAGCTATTGAGAAGAGAGTGTAATGAAGTCAGATAGATTTTATTTGTATTTGGCATCGAGATTTAATGTGAAGACTCTCCTCCTCAAATACTAGAATAAAAACCATGAAAGCAAAGCAAAGGATCAGAAATTTAGAAATTATTAAATGATATAAGTAATTATCAAATTAAATTATCAATTGCTTTTATTTCATTAATAATTTTCTAAATAAAACTATGGGGTTTTGGGGTTTTGGGGTTTTGGGGTTTGGGGACT